TCTTACTTAGGTAACTGTATGTGTGTGACTGCATAAATCTCCACAAATACAAATATTGCTCTTCAAAAATGTTTATCATGCATCTTTAGAACTCCAGCTTCATAAAGAAGTGTAATTTGCATAACTAAGTACAGCAACTGGATTTCATATTGTTTTTAATTGATTAATATTCTTATTGAACAAACAGTGGATAAAACTCTTATCCAATAAATATAGACAGTTTTGGCGAGCTTAGAATCATTTATTGGAGTTTGATGTGAAAATGATGAATGAAAATTCTTATGTTTAGAAATTTGTCATGATAAATGATGCAATAAACGCCCACAGCGACTTTGAGACTGACATCCTGATTCTGATTTTAGCTGGTCCTCATCATCTTTTGCCTCTTTTCCACTGTGAAAAGGGGCATTTTAGGATCCATGACACAAAAAGCAGGAACAATCATGTCCAGATTGCTTCATGAAGAAGCTTTGAATCCAACAGAAAAGAAAAGGAATTAAACATTCATCCCCATCTATGTGTTCATCCATCCATCCTCATTGAAGGGGCTCATTCATATGTCCAATGGCCTAATTTCTGCACATTTTATTTTAAAAAAGTACATGTTAACCAAAAACAGTGGTCAATAAACACCTAAAGCAACTTTTAGTTTTTGTCTTTCCAAACCCAGGTCAAGTGTCGTAACGAGTGGATTTACAGGAGGAAAAAAGACAACATACAAAAACAGAGCCAGGCAGGAAGCAGCAGGGCAAAACTAATTTACAATCCAGGATCCAGGAAACAATGAATGGCAACAGAGTGAGGAGCCAGTGGAGAGCATAGATATATTCTGAGGAGGGAAAAGTCAAAGAAACCAGAAGAGCTAATCACAAATACAACTAAATAAAATGACACATGATCTAACCCAAAACGGTCAGGAAATAAACAATAAACAAATGATCAGGATATTAACAAACACAAATGAAACTAAGAATCCAAGCAATTGCAGATTATGACATAAGGAGAAAAATTATGTATTACAATCTTTGAGTTGTTTACCATCTATATCATAGTACTGCTAGCATTACTGCATGATAGCAACATGAGTCTGTTAAGTCTTTAATCTCCAGATTTACTGGTCATTTATTGGTTGATTGCTTTAGGATTAGGTTTAGATAATCATGTTGGATCAGGAGGCTGATGATTGGGGATAGTAAAAGGAGAGCTTGAACCATATTGCATAAAAAGTATGAAAACTTCAGTGCCTCTGGTCATATATCACATTTTGAATGGCACTTTCTTTTTGACAAGTTCCTCAACATCTTTCATGTGGCACAAGCTTGTGTGTTCAGCAAAAAATACCTCACAACAAAGTACCTCAAAATTTCTCCATAATGGGGATCCAAGTTTCAGATAACTTGGATCAAAGTTCTCTGAGAATTTACTGTTGGAGACAAACTAACAAACAGAATATTCTTTTACTAATATTGTTTTACATATTGTTAAAAGAATATGTTTAACTAAAAAACATATTAAACATACATTTAAATTACTATTTAAATGTAATTAAAGTTGTGGACTGTAACCTATATATTTGTAATTAGCGTCCTCAAACAGTGGTGCAGTTGCTGTGTTTTCATTCCAAATGTAGACAAATTCTGGTGGATATTCCACTAACATAAAAAAAAACAATTCCAGAATTGAAGTATTTCTATAAATTAGAAAGGCAATTACATGAAGAAATGCGTTTCAATTTTTTTTCATACAAATGTATAAAAATATATTTGTATGAATATGCTTGTTCATATGATCAGTCATTACAAAACATGCTGTGCCATCATCCTCCGACTACTTCCTGTCTTATTCTTCTTTGTTTCTGCCAGTAGCAACGTGATGTGTTGATCATGTGACTCGTGTGATGCAGAAAAAGTGTTTCCGTTGCAGTTTTGCAAAATGAACCAATTTTGATTGTCAAAAAAAGAACACCTCATCTTGACGCTGAAACATAGCAAAAGACAAAAGTTTCTCTGAAATTTCCATTTCACAAATTTATTTTCAAAAAGTCAATTTGTGCAATTCTGTGGTCAATGGAAATGCAATAACAATGGGCATTTTGTAACCTGTCCAGTGAAATAACTGCTTATCAAAGCAAGATTAAGTCTCAAAGCTCAATATTTAGTTCTTGGGAAGACAACAAAAGCCAATTTGAAGTCTCCCATGGATTCCAGCTGAGAAATCAGTCAGTACAAATTTCCTATTACACTAAAGCAGCACCGAGAGTCCTGGCCTCGTTCCGGGCCTGAAGCGTCCCCTTCAGAGGAATCCCAGGCGTCATTATGTTTCCTCCTCACATACACGGCTCAGTGAAGGTACTTTCTTCCTCACCGCTACGTCCTCCATCTGTCACATGGCAGCAGCTCCATGGCTGAGCAGGCATACCAGACCAATGATTCAGCATATCTGAAGGGAAGCAGGACCGAAGCAGAGCCGCAGCAGGGCTGCTGGAAGTCAGGCAGTAGAAACGCTGCTGTAGTTAAACTCTGGTTCCAATGATCATCGGGAGTACTAACAGAGCTGTTGGGTCATGAACAAATCTGCTAAAATAACATTTGAAACAGGATGATCTTAATTTAGCCTTACAAAAAATTGTGATTTTTTTGATGTTTTAAATAGAAAGCATTTGTTAGTATTATTTGGTTCTTTGACTTCCTCTCACAGTTCAAACCAGGTTTGATTGCTGGCTTTGCTTCTATTTTTTTTTTTTTCAAACTTTAAGGTTTGGGAGTTATGTTTTTGTGTCACAACTGACCTTTGACCTTCATTCCTTCTGCATGCTGCCTGAACTCTCTGCCATGAATGGTTGGTACATGAAGTTATTCATATTCAATATTTCTGCAGCTCCAATCTACCCTCCTTTCCAGCAGACTCAAATATCTGGATGTTTGATCTGGTCTTGGTTTTATACTGGACTCCAGTCCTGACTCATCCCGACTGTGTTGGTAAAGTCAGAATAGGCATAAGGTTATATTTATTATCCAGACATTTTCACTGCAGCGTGTTTTGTTTCTGAACTTTAGAGCACTTTGCACTTGAGGTTTGTAATCAATCCTAAAGAGCTTTGGTGCATTTTTTCCCATAAACGGACATTTCATAACTGCAGGTCTGAGCAATTATAGTGCTGATGCTGAGGGTGTTTCTCCAATCTCCCATGTGACTGCACACACTCTAACACACACACAGCAAAACTCTGATACACATAGCTTAGATTTATTGCACATTGATCTCTAAAAATGGTGAAGCTGTCAGCTGTTATTGGGTTGATGCTTACTATAGAAAGGTCACATATAGTTATGGAGGTATGAGCACGTTCATGGTTTGTCTTTTTTCAGTTCAGTTCAGTTTATTTATATAATGCTAAATCACAATAAATGTCATCTCATGATTTGAGAGGCATCTGCTGAAAATCTGCCATTTGGTGATTTTCCAAACTTTAGAATATGTCTTTTCTTTATTACTGGGGTTAAAGGTTCCTCTTTTCTGCCTGTCACATTTATACAAGATTTCTGTGCCGATATATCAACATTTCTTTTGGGTTGATATAATTTTTTCAAATATTTTATAAATTAAGATTATCACTTATTTTGAGTCAGTTTAGAAAATGTGTCTCTTTAGTTAATGTAAAACCTCACAATTCACTCAAACTCTGGTGGTTCCTGAATGTTCACATGTTTAGAACATGTACATCTGCAGCTGCAGGGGGTAACGGGTGGCAGTTTGTGTCTGCCCCTTGGCCCTAAGTATAAAACGAAGCCCTATAAATATCGAATGAGTTTTGAGTTGAGCTGCATTTCCTACATTATTGTTAATATTCTTTTCTTACGGTTTTTGTCCCTGAGGAGACATCCACACTCTGACTTCATTATCTCTGATGTGGCACAGCCTTCCTTGTGTGCTGCCATTGTGTGTGTGTCCAGCTAAAAGGTCGATCAGAAACCACATAGGGTTTGTTTACGTTCGGGTAAGTGAATAATTAACAATCAGTCTTCGACTTGCAGCTATGCTAGAAACTATGGCAATAAATAGAAAAAGGGATATTAATAACAATTTGTATCAAAAATAAATCCTGACATTTATTTTTAATTTCAACACAACAGAAAATGCTACATTGTCAGCTGTTATCCCCTAATGTAATTTCTACCTCTGTAGAAAATCATTTTTATTTGCCAGTAATTTGTCTTTTCTTAACAACTAGCAAAAAATGTCCATTGATATTAGGAGCTTTAAATTTACTATAAAATTCTAACTGTCTTCAATCCATACGTTTAAATATGTCTCCTTAGTAATTACCTTTTATACTGCATGACAGCTTTGTTGTCTTTTAGTCATTTTAGCTCAGGCAGGAAGTTGGACTTGAGATTTTGTTGAAGAATTGAGTTAATATTGCAATTTCATCCTTCAAACTTTATTCTTATATTATCACTCATATCGTTATTTATGACTTTATCATTGATTTTTTTCCTACTTATTTTTGTATGACTTTGTCATAATTTTATTTTATTCTTATATAACTTTATTCTATGAAAAAATAAGTTTAAAAAAATAAATTGAGTCATTCAAATTGCCATGAAAATGTTGAATATCAGTTGCATATGCGGGAAAACACATTGGATTTTGGTTGCATTGCCTGCTGTCTGCACTGACATGATTGATGTATTTGGGGTGGCAGAAGAAGGATCTGACCCAGGGAGCCTTTCATGCAAGAACCGCCACTGGTCTCAGCTGTTCGCTTCCTGCGGAATGTCTGCTGCTTTGTTGGGATAAAATAAAGTTTTACTTCAAAATTTCTAATATCTTTGGGTTGTTGTTTGAGCCATTAACCTAAGTCATCATACTGTGTGTTTTTCAGCTGAGCTTGAGCGTGTGTGAGCGTGTGTGCGTGTGTGTGTGTGTGTGTGTGTTTTCCCTCCCTCCTCCTCCCGCCGGAGGGGCGGGGTCCACATGATGCTACATCAACACGAGCAGCGAGTTGCAGATGTATCACCGGCTCGCGCGCGCTGTCCCTGCGGCTCCCGTCGGAGTTAAACCGACACCTTTCCGACAACTTTTGGCGCAGGAAGAGACGCTTATTATTTGTAGCCTATTTTGATTTTATTTTCTGAAAAGTACAGTCGTTGTGGTGTGTTGCGTTATTAGTCAGCTCTTGGAGAACCTGTGAAGTGACCACGGAGCGCTGGAGGAGAGCTGGAGGAACTGGAGGAGAGCTGGATACCTGACGGCTATAAGTGAGTTTTGGAGCTGAATTGACCTCCGTCCATCAACTTGTCCTTTATGAGTGTTTGACTTGAGAATTCCCGCAGCTGGTCTTAAGTTGCACAGTATTTCTAGACCAGGTCTTACTTCTATGTTGAAACTAAAGTTAAGTGACACAGAAAGGCGTTTTAGTTCATGAAGTTGTGAAGTGACATTTCCATGTGAGTGAGTGCAGTATTTGTTGTTGGTAGTGAACATTTGCTTACAGCAGCGAATCCGTACAACATTTGATTCATGAGGAGCCAGTTTGTTTTGGATTTTGATAGAAGTTTTCTACAATCTTTGCACTTGAAATAAACAACCCCCCCCCCGACCCGTACATCTCCTCCACTTGAATATTTCAGGGCATCTTGCAAATTAAAAATGAGCTTCTCCCGGGGTTGCATTATGCATCGTTTACACGCCGGGCTGTGATTGGCTGCGGCTCCGTGTCGATCCGTGTGGCAACAAGCCTTCCCATCATCCACCCAGCAACTCCATGTTCCTCATGCCGTGGTGATTTCTCTGCCTCCAAGGGCCTTTTCCCCTGCAGCATCCAGCGTGGTAGCTATGGAAACAGCAGCTCTGACCCTGGCTGAGCCTGTTACTCTGGGCTTGACCTGGATTCCTCACCGCATCACAGGCAGGGCGGCCACAGCTCGGACAACTGACCCGCTTCTTACATTGATTGGTGATCAAGCAGCTGAGGCGATAATCCACCACATGTTTATGAAGTTCTGATTGACCTTATTGCTGTTTGTGTACATTGAGAGGTTATCTCTTCAGGTCTATGACGGTTTCTTAAAGCATGGAGGGAAGACGTATTATCAATGTGACATAAAGCATTTCTTATTTTCCTATATTCAGCACGCTACTAAATTTAACTTCTTCGGTTTCTTGCTTCCCATTCATCATCTGCATGAATGAACGCTTTGATGTGAAGATTCTGACGTCTCTGCCCCTACACATTCTTTTGCTTCCTTATCTTTTAGTATTTGGAGAACATATATCTCATGTTTGAGTAATGGATAGATTTATTAGCAACCCTGATTTTAAAAATAGTAAATATTTTGCAGAAAAAAACTGTTGGGGGAATAGAAACATGATTAAAAATAATTGTTTTTAATAAAAGAAGCTGTCTAGCAACTACTGGCAGCCCTTCGATCAGTCTCTTTCACCTGTAGGAGAACACTTAGTCTTCTCCAATTACACTTCACAAGGTCGAGGCATACAAAGAGACAACATTCTCTCTACTAGGTTAGAGTGAATTTTTGGGGTTGCATTGATAAATTCGGTCAGATCTCCTTAATTTTGTGAAATCAGCCAATTTTTACATCTGAAACCAATTTTATCTATGGATCTTATGAACCTCTGCTAATGTCTGAAAATCAACCAAATATCCCCTTTTGCTTTGCAGTGAGAGAGGGCTGACTGACAGACCACAAGGTCACGTCTGGACATCCAGGGTTAAGAATAATCACGCCACTGTTTCTGGTTCACAAGGCAAGATTTTAAAATTGTGTGACAATTTTCAAGTCCTGAGATACAACACACATGGCAATAAAAACAATGTTAGGTATAACAAATTTGGTTGTACAGTGTCAGGCAACACACCACACACACACACCAATTTCTCTGACTTACCAACAGTCAGAGGTCAAATAGAAAATCTCACAAAACCTATTCAGACCAAACAAACAGGATAAACAAACATTGCCGACTGGGAAGAAGCAATGGTGACAGTTTGTGGATTATTTAGCAGTGACAAAAAACTATACAAAGAAATATTTGCTGTGCACCGAAATTTCTGGTGTGCCATGGAAGTTTAGTCTTCTTTGCATTTTGAAATCCCTTCCATGATCCCATCACCTCAGTTTCTGATTAGCTATACGTCAACGTTCAACAGGCCACATTCACGTTTGTGAAACACAACCACAGTATAGCAGATCTTCCGCTATACGTTAGAAGTTGTCCTGTGTTTTATGCCATGCAGTTCCAAAGTATCTGTTGCTGAAAAGCCTTGTCTTACTCTTATTTGACCAAAGAGAAGTCCTTGCAAACTCCACAGTTTGTATGCTTGTAATGGCAGGACAGAAAATGTTTTTTTCTCTCTCAAACAAATTGGTTGATATGTTGTTAAGGGTTGTCATGGAGACTTGATGACCCATCAATTCATATTTCACATCAATAATTGTGTTCTTACTGATTTTCTCTTTGTGCATTTCTCAGTGTAGGATTTTTCCCCCCTTGACCCAGTGTCCTCTAATTAAAGGGTAGACTCAAAAAACATGCTGATGATATAATACTTTAAAATCAGAATGATTAAATTTTATTAATGCATTTCTTTCACCAAAAATGTCAGTAAATCTGTCCACCAAATACTTATATTCACTAAATATGTGAATTCTTCACAATGAATCACAACAAATTCCGTTTTAGTTTTTGCACTAGTTTGCAGTGTGAGTTGCAGTGAATATAAATCATAATTTAAGAGATGAGAAAAACAGATGTTGTGGATGAAGACGCTGCTGATAGAAGCTAAAGGTGGCTCTGCTCCTGGAACCGCTCGCTGGCTGCCCACGACTCAGCTGCAGGCTCCATGAGCTGTCAGCTTGTTGTCGGAGCGAGACTGTGTAGGAGTTCCTATTTCTGTCGTTTCTCCAAGCCATCCTCCACCTCTTGCTGAAGCATAACAGAAATCAGCTCAGTTAGCCTCTGTGGATTCTGCCTGCCTGTCATCAGGATGCCTCTTCTGCAGCTTATCCCTCCGACTTGGCTGTGTCAGGGCGCCCCACTAAGAAGGGAAGCAGCTGATTTGCTCCATCTGTGGCATGAGATCAAAGTATCCTTAAAGCAGTTTGTCAATCAACATGGAGGAAATCTGTAGCTATTTGGGTTACCCAACAGAAATAAGTGGCACATGTTCATTTTGCTGCTGCTTGCATGTTAAGTGTTGGGTGTAGAAGACAAGTAAATGCAGCAGTTCCTTGATTTGAATACTTTTTTTAAGAGACACATTATCAATTAATTGTTTGTCGATTGACAAGACCAATCAACTTTTTATAAACTAATTATTCAATAACTTCAATGTCTAGTTTCAATGGTTATGTGAATGCAAGTGGACAGGAGACTGATTCAAAAGCAGGCTCATGGTCTTTCACCAAAGACAAAAGAGACATACTGCAACTGTTAAAATCTGACATCATTCATTTTTGTCAGTGTCTTCTTCAGAGATCTTCCTGTTGTTTCCTTTAGTTGTTTTTGGTTTTACAACAGCATAATTCCTAGCTTCGCTGCTGTTTTGAGTTGTCATTCATTATTTGTGTCGGATTCAATCTCTCCCACTTAAGTTTCTGGTTTCAAGCAATATCAACAACCAGTGGGCCTGTCAGAATGAGCTTTTATCAAGAAATTAAAGTTTTGGACAGAAAATCTGTCAGAATTTATCATTGCCATGTTCCCACAAATCTGGACATGATGAACTTTGACACCTTTTTAAAACTTTATCAAACTGTGTTCAGTATACAAATTAGAAATATTCTGCCTTGCTCGCGTGAGATCTGTTGGTCTAGTAACCTCTTTTGGTCAAACGGCTTTTTCTTAATTTGTGGAATTCCTAATATCAGGACTTGAAACTGATTGCAGATTTGGTGCCTTGTTCACATGAAGACTGATGCAGTTTCTCTCAGAAGACCAGTCCCTTCGACATGATTAATAGCAGCCCACGATGGTTTTATGATGCCGTTTGTTTCATTGTGCTTGGTTTTAAGGTCATTTTAAGATTTATGTTGTATATAATATTTTATCTGGTCGTGCTGTTTTACTGTCTTTGTTAAAAGATTTTTTGGCACTACTAGCCTTCACTGGACAGTAAATTGCCAGGAAAGAGGGGGGGAGGGGGGGCAAATTGCCCTAGCAATTAAACCCAGGACAACCATTTTGAGGATTTCAGCCTGCTCGTTATGCTTGTAGTCTACCACCCAACCCCAACGCTTCCCGTTTGACTGCCTTTAAACTGTTTTATGTGGTTGAAGGTCCTTCTTGCGTTGCAAATGAGCTGAGGCCATAAATGTTCTAGTGTTTCTTACTTATGATTACTGCCTGTTTCTGTGAAAACAACCAAGAAAGAAAGACAGTCTGACCTCTTCAGATCAATTGGAAGTGACCTTATGCCAATGATCAGATTGATTAGCATCAGCAATTGCTGTTAAATCATTTCTGGTGTCTTCACTTCTTGGCATTGTGGAAACACACTATAACATCCTTCAAAAATAAATGGTATTTACTTGAGTTTTCGGGTTTGTTACTATAGTTTTTATTGCCAATCTATAAAAAGTTTGACCTGCCGATTGTAATTATGGCAGCTAGAACACCATTTTTCTTTCTCTTTTTTTTTTTTTTTTTTTTTTTTACCAATATGATTTTCAGGTGTTTGCGAAAGTAGGTAAGTGTAGGTTTTGGATGATCGTCATTCACCCAGAATTCAGGAAATTGGTAAAACACACCACTTAAATAAAGTGTATGTATTTTATTAACTTTTACTATTATTATTGTTGTTATTGAAAAAATGATGGACAGCTCCAATAAACACAATATTCTGTCAAGTCTAGTGATGCTTGATCCATTTTTTTCACTTTCAATATTGAGACAGATATCTGAGGTTTAAAAGTGCAGAATTGATTTATTAATTAATTACAGATTTATGTGGTAACTCTGCACCAGTACATCACACTTTAATACACCGATAGGTTCACAAGTTTGGTCAAACATGTAAAAATAACACAATTTTAATTTGTTCAGTCAATGCAATTACAAATATAACAGCCAATGTAAAATAAATGATAAAGAAATTGCAACTGACAAAAATGGGGTGACTGCCTTGGTCAAAACATAAGCTGCAACAAGCCTAATTTAAAGTGCAATTAAGAATAAATAGAAATGTCAATATAATGTTAAATAAATAAAGCACAACGTCACTCAGACCATGGACCATAGAATTTGACTGAATAGACCCACCTTTATTGATGGGGCAAATTATCACCAATACCCGATCTAGAATTTATTTCAATATTGGGGCACATACAGACGTTATACAGCCACTTCCCAGAATAGTCAAGTCTGTGAGAAGTGCCAGCTGCAGATGTCTACACTGATCCTGAGAGAAGCCAGTTGTGCTGAAGCTGATTTTATTTATTCCCATGTCGTTTTCCAAAGCATCCCATTGTGAGTGGATTTCTGGCCCGGGAAGATCCTGTCTGCCCTGAAACCATGTGAGTCACGCGCAGACAATGCGATTCTGTCTTCCTCTCAGGAATTAGACTGGATGAAGTATTCAGAGCCACCGACCTGCTTTTTCCTCTGTCACATGATGGCCGTAGTACTCAACCACTTATGTTAGGAGAGGTTAAAGAAGCTGTGAAGGCTTCAACTTTACCCTTGATTGTTTTGTCTGCATCATGTTTTAAAATAGCTGTTTTCTGTCGTAGATGTAATGGACCAGCAGAGGGCGCTGCACTCCGACTGCCTGGTCTCAGGAATCCGCACGCCTCCTGTCAGACGCAACAGCAAGCTGGCGAGCCTGGGACGCATCTTCAAGCCATGGAAGTGGAGGAAAAAGAAAAGTGAGAAGCTGAGGCCCCCTGGAGGTGAGCGGTGAGACAGACTCTGGTTTCCTCCTGCGTTTTGGGGAATCGGCTGGAGGATGAGGAAGAACGAAGCATGCTCTTGCTAAAGGTCTCTCATTTTTTGCCAGACGCTCTCTGGGCCAGTTTTCATGAATGTTTGTGTTGTTCAGTGGCTGAGAAGAAGGCAGCTGTACGACAGAAGAGAGATGAGCTCATCAAGCGGAGCCCCGGGGACATGGAAACAGGTGCAAAACCAGAGATTAACCCTCCCTCCCTTTCACCAAACATGCACACAAACAGTTCCAGGCTCATCACAGTCTACTTGCTCAGCCACATGATGCCCAACTGCTAAACAGGCTCACTGCTGTTCTTTCTATGGCTTGTACGCAGACTCGGATCTCGCTTGTGGGGGGAACAGCGAGGATCCTGACACCCCGACCCAGTCAGACAGCGAGGACAGAGATGAGGAACTCATGGCCCCCTTGGCCAGTGCCAGTGAGGACCTGGGAAGTGATTCAGAAGCCCCAGCAGGTAGAAATCAGCAGCTGTCACAGAGGGCACAAATATGACTTTGTCAGAAGTTATTTCTCTGAAAACCTTAGAGTGTTTATTGGGAAACTCAAAGCTTCAGGAATCAATTTTTACATTTAAATAAGAGAGAAAATTAGGATATAGATCCATCATGGTCCCTTTTCTTTAGCCATAAACTTTAATGCATTGTATTGTGACTGTATACAATAGACTTACAGGTGGTAGTCCAAAATTAAAGAAGAAAATTATTATGTTTAGGTGTTTAGGGTTGAGGTACTATACCAGTGTGTTGGCCTGTTATTGAGTGTTATCACTGCTTTCCTTCTCAGTTTAGAATCAGCAAATGAAGGTGTAGAGTAACTTTAAAGTTTGTTCCCATATTTGACTTTCAAAGTGGTCTTAATGATGAGAAGCCTGTTCTCTTTTGCAACTTCTTGTGCTCATATAACGCAATTTTTCAATTGTAGTGTTTTCTTTAAAGAGAAACACAGTTAAAATCACACATTAATAAATGCTGCACCATCATCTTCCAACCACTTTCCCCTTGCAGAAACATTTGGTTGTTGATCACATGACTTGTGTGATGTGAAAAAAGTGTTTCCATTGCAGTTTTGTGAAATAGACAAAATTTCAATATGGCCAAAAAAAACACCTCCACCCAGTGTTGAAACGGGAGTTTGCTTCCATTTAACAAATTGGTTTTTGAAATTTCAAATTCAAAAATTATGTTTGGAAAGTTATGTTTCCATGGTCATTGGAAACAACTTCCTACACACTACTGTAGCCAAATCCAATTGGTGATATAACACACCGAGTAACAAATTCCATGAAGACATTCTCTGCCTGGCTTTGGAGTATGGCAAGAAGTCGAGAAGACTAGAATTATGCTGCTCTTTGTGCCAGCACGTTTGAGTAGTTATTTAATTTCTCTTTGGGATCAAAAAGGTATTTTTTTCATTTGAAATTGAAATTCTGGACATTGAATAGAGAATAATAACTTGATTGTAAATAAATTGCTTTTAACTGTAGTGAGATTTTTGTGTTTGATATATTTAACTAGAAAATAAAAGTTCGCAGTAAAATTAGTTTCCTGAGAGGAGATGGTCCACCAGGTGGAGACAGAGACTTCAGAAACAAACCAGGCTTTGCTCCCGTTTCAGTTCAAGATTTGGAAGAAGATCCGAAAGCGGCTGGAGAAAGCAATCGGGGTGAGGACGAAGATGCAGAAGATGGGAACGTGTCACTAAGTGACTCCAGTGAGGAGCGGACGATGGAAACAGCAGAAGCTACAGAGATGAAACAGGATATAGTTGCAGCCAAGCCTCAGAGACGAGCCAGCACCCCTCCTCCACCAAGTCTTCCTGTCAAGCTGCTCACCAGGCTGGGCAGCTTAGATGGTGAGTTGACCTTGACAAACAGACAGACATGCGTTCTGGTACGAGTGTCTGATATTTTGCTTCTTCAGGCACTCCTCCAATTGCAGTGAAAAAGTCTCCCGCCACATTACCGAGGAACTTCACACTCCCCAAAGAACCTCACGGATCCCTGCTGAGAGGCAGGATCTCTACACCCACCGGCTCTCCGCACCTTGGGGCCCTTCACCAGCCACTGCCCCCCAGCTGCATCATTGAGGAACTGCATCGTGCCCTGGCAACCAAACACAGACAGGAGAGGTCAGCCTAATGTTGGTGTTGAAATGGAATGAGAGTTTGGGAAAGTTTTTCATTTAATGACTGAAAATGTTCTAGATACAGGGTCTCAGATGTGAATATACCTCTTGACCTTTTTTTCCATATTTGATTGTTTCATAACCACAAACTTCAGTATTGTCATAATTGTAATTGTCATAATTGACAGGAAACAATGAATAGTTTTTCAGTTAGTTTTAAGAATGAAAGTCTGGAAAGTGTGTCATGCGTTTTTGCTCAGTTCTCTCGGAGTCAAAACTTTGTAGAACTGACTTCTTTAGAATTTGTTTCCCCTCAGGATATAAATTTTACTGCAAACTTTTATTTTTTAGTTAAATACATTTTCAGATCTTTTTGGGTTAAGTGTCTACAATGTTCACAAGTTTAGATTTCTCTAGAAAGTAATTTTTGCTGTTTTTTTTTTTTTTAATAAAATCAAAAAGTGTGAGATGTTTTTGCCCATTCCTTCTTAATCAGAGCTTCGTGTTAATTACATTTGAACAAATCTGAAGTGAAAAAAACTTATTTAAAACACTTTGAAAATCATGTACACCGTTTTTGGGTTGGTCTCATATCAGTAACCCAAAAAACAATTTGTGGTTGTCTCACAAACTGTTAACCCGATTTTCCCCTTAAGACAACATGATCAAACCTGTTGTACCTGCAATTTCCTGCTCATCTGCGGTCTGTCAGGTTTTGAAAGTCGGCCGACAATTCTAAAATCATGGAGTGTGAATGAGGCTTAACATTCCTGCTTATTTTCATTTCAGCATTTGAATAGTTTTTGGTTTTAATTGTTTTCGCGTTGATCAAAACAGTTTTTTTTCCTTTGCTGCTTTACCAAAGATGACAATGAAAGATCCATCTTGTGACATGTGATACCAGTTTCCAGACAAAGGAAGCCCGCTGTTCCCCGAAGCGCAGAGCGGATGGCCGGCTATCTCGGACGTCCAGCATGGAGAGGGAGTCACTCGGGGAAATGGACGGCAAGAAGAGGTCGGACGAGAACAAGGAGAACTGTCGCCTGGATCAGTACGCCAGCGACCAGGACAGCTGGAACGAGTCGGTAATCTCTGGTAGGTGTGCTGGCACCAGAGCTGTGCCTTAATATTTCCTTTTCTTTCTCCCTGTTGCATAGCACACAAAGCTAACTAAATGTATGCGCCGTTCCAGATGATAATGAAGCAATCTAATTTTTGTTGATGGTCGTTCCAGCCAGGGAATGGCAGGCAGATTAGAAGCGATGATGAATGGCACACTTCCTGGCACGAACCTCCAGCTTCCTGTCAGTATCTGCTGTGGTGGCCTAATTCCTGGGCATCTAACTGTGACTGGGGCAGAAACTGTTAAACTGTTAAGTTTGTTCCAAATTTTTGGTGCATAGATGCTGAAAGCTGCTTCTCCTCTTTTGGTTCTGGTTCTGGGAATGCAGAGCAGAACCAGAACCAGAAGACCTGAGAGGTCTGGAAGGTTGATACAACAACAACAGCAGATCTTTGATGTATTGTGGTGCTAAACCGTTCAGTGATTTGTAAACTAACAACAGTATTTTAAAATCAATTCTTTGAGCTACAGTGGAGGGATTTTAAAACTGGTGTTATGTCTCTATCCTTCCTAGTTTTAGTGAGAACGCGAGCAGCAGCTTCTGGATCAGCTGCAGGTGCTTCATTGATTTGTTGGACAGGCCTGTGAAGATGCTGTTACAAAAATCAATGCGACTAAAGATAAACGCCTGGATGAGTTTCTCTAGATCTGACATTAGACATTAGGTTGAGTGAAATACATTGAAATTTCTGTGAAATTTGAACATGCCAGTACACGGACCAACAGTGAGAAAAGAACCCAGAATCTTCTTCCACTAGCCCTATTATTTTTAATTACTTTTCCGGTTATTTGTTTAGCTTTTTGACTGTCATCCTCATTCAGGTTAGTGTTGGTAGTTGTGAGATGCTTTATCTGTCTGATCGCTCCAGATATCTTTTACCTGCAGTGAACCTCGATATAGTCAAACTCTGTCAATGCTTGTTTTTTAAATGTCCTATGAGATTCGTTGTGCTGATGCATTTTGATGTGCTTCACCTCCAAGGTATTTTTCTGTTGAAACACGGAAACTTCCCCATTCGCTCTCAGACTGTTGAAGTTCCACACGACATTGCTTATTTGCTGATGCTCTGTTGCGCAGTGTGAAGGAAAGAGGGAGAGATGCTGCACACTGCAGACTGCAAAGTATGGGATGCAGGTGATCGTTTTTTGTGATTGCAATAAGAGACAATGATCAGCGATCACTGATCAAGCACTGTTTCACAGATATCCGCTGATCATGATCGGTGGCTAATCGATCAGCACACCCCTAGAAGTTTTGGTTAAATATCATGTGGTTTGTTAACAAATGTATCTGTAAAGCAGGAGGTGATGCTTATTACAGGATATGAGCAGTACAAAGCTCTCAAAGCTGTTCAGTTTGGATCCACTGACATCTAGTGGCTGATATTTGAAACCTGTACAATAAATTCCGTAAGTTTTTCTGAAGTATTAAGGGTCTGTGTCTTTACAGGGGCAGCAGTTCCCTCAGCCTAAATAACATGTACATGTTTAAACAAAAGCACATTTAAGAACCTACTGTATGTTTTCTATTAGCACTGCAATGTATCTTTTTGATGTGATTTTAAATTAATATTTTTCCAGTAGATTGTTTTTTGTCAGAAACACTTCATATTTATATAGATGTTTTTTAAACGTATGTCTGTTTTTCTTTGAGCAATTAAAATGCTAGTTTACTTTGTAACACATGAAATTAGAGAACAAATATTAAATGAATGGAATTTAGGGGAAAAAAACTATATATATTTTTTTCTTTTTCTTTTTTTTTAAACAGCTTTAAATAAAAAAGATTAGAAAGACATAACTCAAAAACATAATGCAACTAATTAATGACAGCCCCTTCAGTCCTGCACTTGCCTTTTCATTCACTGCTTTTCTGATGAATTAATCTCTTCTTCCTCTGTTTTTTGGTTGGACATTATCAATTTATAGATTTTTATTTACAAGGTAAGTATCATGTGTTCTCCAGGCACATACTGTCATTTTATAGCACAATCAATTAACTATGTTGCGTTTAGTTTTTATACAATTGATGTATATATAAAATATGACTTAAAAGAAATTTGACTTTGTAATTTAATGCCTTAAATTTAGGCCTTTGCCTCTTTATGAAACTCTGCTATTTGTAAAGCTCTGCTTTCAGAAAGTCATCACAACATGGCTCCTCCATTAACCCTTTAACAACGTTTTTACCAGCGCTGCTCTGAGAAGCAGCTCCTATAATGAGCTCAGCTTATTATAGTTCCATCAGGTGTTTGCTGATTGCTGCTGGCTAGTCTGAAGGAGCTGAGTGGGGGAATTGAAAGGAGGGCTGCTCTGTTAGGCTTAGAAACTGCAGTTCGGAGGAGACGCTACGCTTCGAAGGCAGACCTAGGTCCACCCAAGACAGGTGGACACAGATTAATAGTTGCCATGGAGATTAAGGTGTTTCTCAAAGATGCATGAATCAAGTCAACACTGGGTATGTTTTTGAAGAAGGAATAACATTATAGAATTATGTAAAGTTCGTAAAAGTTGATTTTACATAATGCTACTGCTAGTGGGCTGGCGGCTTTGTCCCCCTCTGCCTTCCCTGTAAATCTGTCCATGGTGGAGCTGGAAAACTACCATTCCCTTACCGAAGTGTGTTCTGAACTTCAACAGGAACACTCCCCCGCAGGATGAGGAAAGAGCTCCTGGCTGTGAAGCTTCGGAACAGGCCCAGCAAACAGGAGCTGGAGGACCGCAACATCTTCCCGGTGCGCAGCGACCAAGAGCGACAGGAAATCCGCCAGCAGATAGAGATGAAGCTGGCCAAGTGAGTCGCTGTGTGTGGACCCAGCTCAGCATACCGTCAGACCCCTCACCCCTCTCATCGCCTCATGTATGTCGGCTCATTTCACATCACATCGCTCGTTTGTCTACATTTTACCTGCTTTTGTCTTCCTTTTGTAACACCTAACATCCCCATTAGAAGCACTCACTCTTTCCTTATTCATAGCAATGCATGGTGGGGAATATTTGTTCTCATGAATAAGCACAGATACTTTTTTAGTCATCAAAGATTACAAAGATTAGGATGATACGACAGTATAATATCTAGGATTGGATGTCATGGACTCAGGATTTTATTACTGTCTACATTGTGATACTGTTGTGATAACGATAACAATGATGATTAAAATAAATTATTTTCTATATCACTAGCTGGTTTGAGTAATTGCTTTAATCATGTCATCTAATTTACATTTATTGATGTTCTTTAAATACAAACAGTAGACAAAGTTATGAAAATAACACTTATAATAATAGTTTTTTATATGAAGTTAAATTTATGGAGATGAATTGATCTCAGTGCACCTATTTCCTTAATTAAAGAAAATTGATAATCGGCCTATCCTTGCATTTGAAACCAAATGAATGCAAACCAGCCCTCAGAGGTCTGACTGACCCTAACCCTGCACCTGCATGGTTAACAGTAGCCACCCCACTGTTTACAACTTAACAACTTTGTCACCACGTTTAGCAACTTTTCAGACAAGAATAATTTGTATTGCCTAAATTCAGAATTGGCATCTTTTAAAGATGGGTAATTGGACAAAGAACTGTAATCATAATCATAATGCAGATGTCTGTGTTGCTTTTGAGTGATATTTAGCGCGGAATGCAGGTTTACGTTGACAAAGATTTCATTGTTAATAGTCTGCAGCTTTCCGAGTTTTTTTTTTCTTTCTACTACTGGCCTTTCTGCTGCAGGATAAATCCTGGAGTGAGGAAAGGGATTTTCTGAAATGCTGAGATAGACTGAACAGAGCAGTGTGATCGGATTTGTCATTGTGTGCTCTTATTACAAGGACTTTGATTTGGCTGTTTTTCTGCTGATAATACAAAGACTGGCTATGCAAGCATACGTTTAGTTTCAACATCAGCATTTATACATGAAAAATGTAACAATTACATCATAATTTTCAGAAATGCATAATAGATGTCTGCTGAACAGAAAATTAGGAGGTGTGTCAACTTTTTGGCCTCACACTTTTAACTTTGCGTTTGTAAACAATTTATATGTTCTGCAGTTCCAGAGTCTCTCAACAAGCTGCTCACTGAAAACATGCTCTAAATGGAGACTGGCCTTTAGACAGAAACAGACTAACTCCATTTCTAGGTGAAAATACAGAAATAATCTTTGTTGTGTGTGTGCATGTGTGTGTGCATGTGTGTGTGCACACGTGCGTGTGTGTGTGCTACACTTGATGGACAGGAACTACTCCTACATGTCTTTAATGCAATTTGATTTGTGATTCCAGTGCAGAAAACAGAGCAAAGAGCAGGAATAAAAATATTGCAGACTTGAAGGAAATTGCATTTCTTACTTAAATTCACAAGGACTAGCTTGTGGCCAGCATCTTCAAGCTAGCTCCCTCTGGCGGTTTAAAAGTGGTTTGAATGTCTGTGTGCTACCGAAGGTTTGATGCGATCCGTTGACAGATCATATGGTCAGTAATTTCTTTATCAGGGAAGTGTATTGGTGTTTACTCCTAATCTTTTAAAATATGTGAAGATAATGTGAAAGCAAGCAGAAAACACCAACAGCAACAGATGATACAAGCACATTCTGTTTGAACCTGCTGAGCTTTAGCTTGTTCTGAAAGCACCATATTATGTGAGTGACAACTTGCCTGTTTAAATGAGAGGACATGAAGGAAATGATCAATTTGTAGGCCTAGTGTGACCTGAGTGTTGTAGTTTTACCCTGTGGGATCAACAAATGAAGCTTGCGGAGAGTTGTGATGTCAATAAGTGAACATGTGCCAGGAAATGCTCACAGCCACAAATCAGTACTTAATAAAACTGAGAAGTCATTCAGTTAGATTATTTTTGTTTTATTTTGTCCTTCTAGTCACATACTGGGTTGTTTTCTCAGGGTTTCCCTGAAAAAACTTCCTAAGCTCAGTTGTTTAATATTATGTTAAACAACATAAACAAGGAATGTTATTCCTTCATTATATGATACACTTATCATCCCAAACGCAGCTTATGTAAACCGAGCTGCTGATTAGCCTTGTGTAATAAAAACAGGAAGAGATCAATTTTGTGTCATGGAAGGACAATGTGACTAGATGAAGCAGGGATACGGACAGAGTGTACACAGTGTTGGGTAGGATAGAGGTCAGAGGTGACAGGCTGTTGCTCATGCTGTGCTGCATTACTGCTGTGTTAGTTGTGACATCGCTCCTCATTGGTCAAGAAACCATTGATGAGTTTCTGTTATCACTCTCAAGATGTAATAAGAACAGGAATATATTTTATATATATACTGTATTAGGAGAGATCATATCATTTGAGTTTGGCAAATTAAGTTGCAAGTTCACATTCAAACTTCTAAAATCTAGCAAAGTATGCAGTTTCATGAACTACTGTAAAATAACAACTCTTTGTAATTCTACTACAGGACCGTTATAATTTTATTATGATAAAAATGTGATGGAATCACAGTAACCTTGTTATATATTTACTGTTACTATTTAAAAAAAAAATACAGTAACACAAATCAAATTAGAGTAATATAGTAATACAAATTACAGTAAAACTGCAATAAAATCACAGTAAAACTAATAGAATTACAGTAAGGCTACTGTAAAAAATTACAGTAAGGTTACTGTAAAGTTACTGTAATTTCTTTATTGTAAAAATTACAGTAACTGACTGACAACCCTGCTGCCAGTAAGTTACTGTAAATTTACAGTGTGATGCATATTAACGTTGGGGTGTAAAACCTTCTCACTGTTCAGTCGAGAGTTAAAATTGCGAGAGTGGGGGCCGATGGCGATGTTACCAAATGTTTTTCATTCTGTAACAGAGTCCCACTGAAGAATGCAGAGATTCTCATGTAGCTATATAGTAAAAGATGCTATTTATAGTTTTGACCAAATGTTTATCAGTCTTGCCAATAAAGTTAAAGATAGCTCTTTTATGATCCCAGGCTGTTTTCTCTGCATATCTTCAGGATATTAAGGGCTTAGAATTATTTTATTTGCTCAACTGACTTGTGAACAATCCTCTTTGAAAATGTATTGGATGTTATTGGGCCTGAAATTGACAGTTCAGGGGAAGCAACATTTGCTCTTGTGTAGCTTGAACAGTAGAAGTTGCTCACCACTGTCCCATGCTGAGTGTTGCTTTGGAACTCACCAGGTGTTGGCCTCTCAGCTCGTGGAGTGACGGACTGCAGGACTGAGGTATTAACATGAACTGAGTCACTGCTAAGTACAGCTAAGGCGCGCCATTGTTTTTGGGAGGCGGCGGCATACCGCTGACGTCTGTGGTCTGCCAGCGGACATGACGAGCCCCCCTGGTAGCCGCTCTCTAAACATCCATTCTGTCCCAGCGGTTGTGTTGCCTCTGCATGAATCATACTGATTGTGTCACGCTGACAGAACACAGCAGAGCCATGTTTGTGGAGGCGGATGGAACTAATTGTCCTGTTTTAGGTTCAAGTAGCTGCACTGCTGTCTGTGCAGCTCCAGGAACAGAACAACCTAAATTACAGCCAAGCAACAATCCTCTGTGAGCACACCAAACGGAAAGCAGGGTATCAGGGAATTCATCTGATTTAGCATTTAGCTTTACGTTACTAGCTGTGTTTCCATTACAAATGTGCGTAAAACTTTGATGATACTCCACTAATGCCGAAAAACACAATTTTGCAATTGTGGTGTTAAGGTTAAATACGAAACACAGTCTTTCCCAAATGCACTTTGATTTCTATACATGAGCAGAACTTTAAATTCTTCTACCAAACTTATTTTTAGACCCGTTCGCCTTTGGAGGATGTTCCCTGATGCTTCAGATCTATGTCATAAAGGCAAAACACATAGGGGCACATTTAATCGGTTCATCTGATGATGCAAGAGATCGTTAGTTAGCAGTTCCTCCTGACCCCGTCCTTTATTGTTAATAATGCTCCAGATCACAAATCTCTACTTTAATCCCAGTTGAAAAACTGATTCATCTTCATTAAAAATCAGACAAATTCTGAAGGATGTGGAACCCACTGCAATCTTTCTTACACAGACTTTGATATCAACTGGAAATAAGAACTGACCACCTCACCCTTTTCAATTTTTATTTATTTATTTTTTTACATTAAATGTGTCACTCATTCTGCTGACCTTTGATAGTATGAGGACTCTCTACTTTCTACCATACCCGGGAATATCTGTATTTTGTGTATATAGGTTGTATGTCTATTTTCACGTAAATACTGCAGTGTTCTTTGTTTATTTGGGATGAGTTGTTTTCATTTGCTTTTGTTGATGTTTACGTAAAGTTCTGAAAATCAGTTTAAAAAGTGGGAAAAACAGAAACGCAATTAAGTTACTCAATAAGTCATTGAAAAATATGCCATGCCTCAAACTACTTCCTGTTGGCTTCTTCTACGTGGAAGCATTTTGTGACTTGTGTGATGTGAAAAAAATTTTAATACGGCAAAGAAAAACCCCACCAGATCTTAGTGCTAAAACATATCAATAACAAGAGATTTTTCAAAATTAGTGCATTTCTTTTGAGCAACTTTATTTTCAACATGTCAAGTTGCACAATCATATGGACAATGGAAACAGCTATTGATGCAACATTTTGAAACAAGTGGCTTCTAGTAATTTGATCTGCTAATAAAGACAAAAAATTTCCTTCGACTTTATTTCATTTTACTCAAACAAAACTTAGATTTTTTTAAGAGAACATCTTTGTTTTTAAATCTCTGGGTGAGCAATTCAAATAAATTTCAGATTTCAATTGAGCAGTTTATCTGGGTAG